AATATTTGTAAAGATTCAAACACGATATTTGGTCTTTTGCAAAAGAATCCATACCACATCGATTCATTGATGCAAATAAGTGATGTTTATAAGATGTCGGGGGATCTCGTTATGGCAGGAGAGTTCATAGAGCGTGCCCTGTACGCATTTGAAAAGAGTCTTCATATCAAATTTAACCTCAGCAAGGGAACTTCTCGTTTGAACTATAACAAATTTGAAAATCGGTAATTTATTATTATCACTATTTTTAATATATCGTGCCTTTAATAGTTTTCTTCCAATAAACATTATTGGGTATTATATATTTTTTCATTAGTGCATTCTTCCTTGCTCTATTTCGTCACATTCAATTTTTGTCGAGACGGGGTTGCTGGCAAACGGCATTCGAATTTAGTAAATTATTACTCTCGTTGGACCCAGTGAACGATCCATTGTGTGTACTTCATTTCATTGATTATCTCGGGTTGAAGGCTAAACAGTACGAGTATGTGTTGTCTTTTACAAACGAGTGGGAACATCACATTCTGAAGGATTTGCCGAACTTTGCCTATTCCTCTGCAATGGCAAAATTTCAGTTGGAACTACAAAACAGTAATAGCAAGGTTGCGATCAACCCCAAAGGTTGTTTATACCTTTGATGCAGCTTTTTATTAAATCTACCCTTTTTTTTCTTTGAATTTACAGAATCATGAAGCTAGCACGGCATTACTTGAGAGAGCAATCATATATTATCCTTCTATAGTTCCTAAGCTGGCGGAAAAATGCGACTTTCAAATTGATTCTGATATCGCGGATAACGAATTTATTGCAGAAGTGTATGTTGCTGAACGCCAATAATATCATGATCTTGATACAATATATTGATTTTATAATCATATTTAGATCGACATCAAAGTTTTTGAATTTATTGATTGACCTCTACGTTGATCAATCATCGCCTTTGTGGACGCAGCCAGAGGTTGGTACGCCTATTTATTATTGTTGTCGTTGTTTGTAAGTCGACTTTGTTTTCGTTTAATAATTTTTTTTGTTAAACAGGCTATCACCTGGCTTCAGAGCGCGTTGTTGAATGTATTCGTGAAATTTAAACTTCCTAGTTATAAAGGTAAGAAATATTTATATTCCATAAAATTTTTATTTTATATAATATTTACGATCAAATATTAGCATCTCTGACCGATGATGAGTTTTCGGATGCATTTGTCCATGGAAGAGAGATTAGAGAAAATCTGTTTGAGAATCAAATACCGCTGGAAGTCAGTCGATACATAGTTGTCTCTGGTAAGGTGTGAATATTTCATGGAGTTTTCTTTGTTTATATGAAAATTTACCATTTTTCTATGATAGAAAATTCAAAGTTTCTTGGGCGGCTTCCGTCGATTGTAAATCATGGTATAAACTTATATGATCCTTTACCGCCTCCCGATGGAACTAACCCCTATACGGAACAAGTCGCAAACATGAATAATGCAAATTCTGGAAACATATTTGAAATTGATCTGCAAAGATTTTTGGGGAGAATGCCGGTTAGTGCCAATTCTCAAAAACGACATATTTTAATATCAAATACTTACATTGAATATTTTGTTATATAGAATGCAAATGTACAACTTCTCGCTGAGCGCATCAATCAGATTGCCGATGCCACCAATTTGCAAGCAGCCGCCGATAGGCTTATTGAGATGCTGGCGGGTCTCCGTACTGATGATGAAAATGAGGAAATTGTAGTGAATAATCAAAATCCGGTACCCGATATGCCAGGTGGATTTCCCCAAGAATCTAATGTAAGTAACTGCTGGTGGTTTTTGGGAAACCTTTGATATTGTTTCGTCAATGTCACTCACAAGAAGATTATTTTCTTGATAGGATGGAGAAGATGAATTGAGAAATGGTGGAAATGGTGAACCACCACAGGAAGATCGAAACGAATGACGTGTTTGTATATTTTCGGGTAGATTCGGTGATTAACCGTAGTTTTTTCTAATGTAAATATATTTTAATGCTACAAAAAACTATGTTAATTATCGATTTTAATTTTACTACCATTTCATTTTTTTTACACTCTATGTTCGTTCATTCCTATTTACAATGGCCATCAATGATTGTCGATTCCATGACAGAATTTAAAGGCAGAAATAGTTTGAAAAGATGCACTGGTATTTTTAAAGAAAGATTTATTTATTAATTAAGTTTGATTAATTAGAGTTGGTTGGTTGGTTGGTTTGTAACATAACCCAATAAATTAATCTGCACAAATAATTTATTTCTTGTAATATTACGTTAATTATAGGTTTAATATTTTCCTGCTCTTTTTGACAAAATTTAATATAAACAATGAGTGTAATTACTTGACTATTTATTCTAAAATAATTGATATTTGTATTATTCGTGTTATAAATTAATTAATAAACTAAATTTAAGGATCTTCAAAACATAATAATGTTATTTACAAATAATTTATTTTCTAATATATTGATAAATATTTGTTAATTTAATGTTTATATATTATTATTTACGATTTTAATTTATGCATATGTAAATATATAATATCCATTATTTAATGAAATTATAATAATATCCGTAAAGAATCTTTTATATATTTAATGTTATTTATTTATGAGAAATTTGAAAATTCTTGATATAACATTATTAAATCAAGATTTGAAAATCAAGAAAAAATACTGGTTTATTAGATTTACGTTTGAATGTAATACAGTACGCATCAAAATTTATGCTTGATGCAAAATATTAGAAAAAAAAAGATTATTTGTTTTTTTTTTTTTAATAATAATTGATACTGTATATTGAAATTCTTGTTAATGTTAAAAAAAAAATTTTATTTTAAGATCAATTTATATTAATCACACACGATTCCTAAGATTTTTTTTTCTATTATTACAGATTTTATGATGAACGATATGATGAAAACGAGAAATATTTTGATTACATTTTTACGCTCAATGCTTTTTCTTTTTGTTGTTGTTGTAAAAAACCTGTACCATCGGCTTCTTTTGGATATTTTAATAAATAAATGTTTTTATACAGTCTGCATTATTATAAATTTGCTTTGTATTGTCGACTAATTTTAGCAGCAACCAAATTGAATGTGTAAAGTTTGGGTTAAAGCTAACATAGATTGTTTTTGACGAACAAGTCATAAGTCTATGTATTTTACACGACGTTGCTTAATTCCTAGATTACGCATCCCAAAACCGCTAAAAACACGAATAAACAATTCTTTATTGATTTACAGAGTATATGTTTATTCATACAAGAACTTACTAAAAAGATTTTTTAATCTCTTTCCAAATCTGATTCGCGATATTTTCGTCTAAATACCAAATCCCAACATTTCCCTTACACTCGATGGGAGTCTCCAAAGCCTTAACTTCTTCGATCATCCAGCAATATTGCTGTTTCTTCCTTCCCCTATTTCCGCCTCCGCCCTCGTAATCACCACCCTTCCAAACATTATCGTCGGACACCTCCTCAGACTTCAAGCATGCAAAAAACTTTGCCACGCCAATGATCTTTCCACAGTTCCTTTTCATTAAATCCAGTGATGGCAATTCCGACCAACACTGAAATCGAATGATGGAGCATGTAGGATCGTTCGGTCGAAGCATTCTCTGCGAAGATGAGGCATGGATCGCGATCCACACTCCACTTCCATCCTTTTTATCATCTTGAATTCCGAATTTGCTTTCGCTAATTAGTTTTTGAATATCGAGCGGGTAAGTTCGATTTTCTAAACGCTTTGGGCCGTTAATAATGCATGTGGCATATGGTTCCATTATAGTTAATGCATGTAAAGTTGCCGTTTCTCCTCTTGATTTTTCATCTGTGGTGGAGGTCGAGGCGGAATGTGACATTTTTGAAAATGGTGCTAATGAAAAAAAAGCGCTTAGATCCGAACCGAGGTTACTAAAAAAAATTCAGCGTATTTATGTACTCCCGGATATTTTAATGTGAAGAACGTAGACTACTATATATATAATTTAGGTTAGCATTCGAAACTAGGGATTCAATATGTAAAGACCAATGTTTCTTGTATCAACTGTACTAATATGTAGACATAATAAAGGTAAAGAAACCCTTATGGGAAAACAGATTTACATATAAATTTCCAAATTGTTTCCATCACATATTAATTCATTTTTCCCAGCCGTCTTTTTTTTTTACATAATACACAACTCCATTCCATTCAAAATGTCACGACGTCGGCCGCGCAACACCAGCAATAGTCAACAACAATCTACGCTACCGCAATCATCCCCTTCACCCAGATCATTAAATCACCTTACATCAATCTCGCAACTATGGACTCTACCTCGTGCAACATTGCTTCTAATCAATCCAATTCTCGCCTCAACTGTTCTCCAGGTATCTCCTTGCTACATAGAGCCCGTTTACGGAAATGTCTTTCCCAACCTCTATTTTCATGAATCTTGCCTAATTTCCTTAATCCTCGGTGCCATTTTCGGCATGGGTTATGTGGTCAAAACAAAATCGCTTCATCCAAAAATAAGAGATAACAAAATCGCCGAAGCAATTGTGCGTGACATAGATTGGTGTGGAGCGTTCTTCGCCATGTCACCACTATTGTTAAGAAAATTATTTACTCTAAGCGGCATACTAGGTCCACATGTAGGGCCACACGTGACTCAACTTGGGTTGGCCTACCCTATAATGTTTTTATTGGGATTTCTGAATTCAGTTGCATGCGCCCGAACGTCAGGAGAACACCTTTTTCCAAATGTTAGATGGCTTTCGTTTATTCTCACATACATCGGGGCCAGCGTTTCATTGACATTTGTGTTATACAGTGTTGTCGCCAGAGGGCGTTCGTGCCATCGATTATATTTTGCGGGACTGGCGTTAGTGCTTGTGAGTGCAATGTTCAAATTGTTGTGGAATATTTATGGGGAGGTAAATTTGGTTGAAGATGCAGGACAACGAAAGAGGAACGAGAAATTCGGAACAACGGCGTCAACGAGAATAAAGAGCTTGAGCATTATGCTGATACCGCAGATTTTAGTGATCTTTTTATCGGTCTATAATGCGAACTTCAATCCTCATTGTAATTCAACAATACTTCAGGTTGGAAACGGTTTCTTCATAGATAAATTTATTATAGTACTTTTATTTTCTCCTGATTTAAATGTTAAGTCTTTCATCACACGTTCACATAAAAAAGAATATAGTGGTTGGTAAAACACAATACTCGATCCTTGCGAGGAATGATTCGATCACTGGATGGATTGAAGTATTAGAAGAGTCACATCCTCGCAATATTCGAGTGATGCGGGCAGGGCATTCTCTGTTAGGTGGCGTTTATCGAGAAACCCAGGATTCCATTTATGGATCCTTCTATTTAATGGAAGGTAATGGAATGTTGAAAATTCAATATTGATGCGATGAATTTTATTGTTCAATTATTATTAACGATGCAATGATCTTTTCAGCTGTCCGGTTAGTTGAAAGAAGTAAACAAGATGGGCAAGAACGAGCTTTACAGATGTACGCCAGCTTTCATTTCCTTCAGCATTCCATTCACAAATAGCTAACTTTTTTACCGTACAGCGGCCTAGGAATAGGCGTGTCAGCTTCCTCACTTCAACGTCATAATGTCCTTTTAGACATAGTCGAATTAGATCCCGCGGTGTACGAATATGCGAAAAAATATTTTCATTTGGAAAAACGCCACGAAATATATCTTCAGGATGGTAGAAAATTCATAAATAATGCCGATTCCGGAAAATATGATTATGTGTTGCATGATGTGTTTACAGGAGGATCGGTGCCTTCGGCGTTATTTTCGGTAGAAGCGTTAGAACAGATTAAGAGGGTGATGAAGGAAGGTGGCATATTGGCTTTAGTATGTATTTAAGAAAGAATTTATCTCTAACGTTTTTCTGTTTTTTTTTGTTTTGTTTCATACTAACCTAACACATTAAAGAACTTTGTTGGATCAGAGAGATGGCCACAGGCCGAAAGTTTAGCATTAGTATCGAACACCATAAGATCGGTATTTCCGTACATTAAATGTTTTAAAGAAGGGGCACAAGAAGGATCATTTCAAAATATGGTATCCCATTTTTTTTGTCATTAGCTAATGATGTTCCTTTTAATAACCTCAATCCCTCTTATTGTACCACATATAGGTTTTCTTTGCTTCCACACGCGAATTGAAGTTCCGACCTCCTGTTGAAGCCGACTTTCTGAACAGTGAAATGCGGAGATTCATGTTGAAGAATTTCATGGAATGGCCAGTAAACTTGAAAAAATATCGAAATGTTACTGGAATGATAACAGAAGCGAGTAATCCACTTGATAGATTACAACAGGGCTCGGCGTTGGAACATTGGGTAATTATGAGAGGATTGTTCCCGATAGATGTATGGATAAATTATTAAATGATGAGGAAGAAATATTCTTATGGTATTGAATAATTCTGATGAACATATTTATTTTGAACCTGAAATACTATTGTTTGTTCTTGATACACTTTCAATATAGTTTTGTTCATAATTACTATCATAAATGCAGTCACTATGTTATAATTCATCTTATTTACCGGGTTATCGTAGACAAAGTGTCCAAATCAAGGATTCAACTACCATTCGTTTTATAAGATTTGTCTGTTTTATATCCAATTAATTCCTACTTGACTTTTTCATTAATTTAATGGATAATGCTTTCATTAAATATGATTAATCATAAAAATGTTCAACTTATTAATTATTTTATGGCATGTATTTGATATTTACAATAGTTTGCGTGTATCTTTATTTTTTAATGAAAATTAATTGCTTAGTTTTAATAATAGCTGCTTGCTTCTTTTTTAAAAAGCTTATTTTCTTTTAAAGCTAATTTAAAGATAAATTTAAAGTTATAAAATTCATCAAGTTGGGTTATGAATAATTAATTTTATTAAAAAAATTTTGGTTTACATTAAGTTATAAGAAATTATGCAGTTCAAATTAATTTTTGAATTAAAATTAAGTTAAAATAATTACTTTTTGATATATAGTGTAATCAAAATTTTATTTATTTAATTTAATTTCAAAAACTTTGTTATATTGATTTATTAAAAATCAATTGATTGAAATTGAATAATATATTTTTTAAAAAATTAAATATAAATATAAATTTATTATAAATTATATTTAATATATACAAATATAATATACAGTATATTAAAAAAATATTTTTTTAATTATTTTCACAATTTTTAAAAAATTCATTTTTACTTTTTAAAAAAATTTTTTGAAAAATTTATTTTCTTTTTAAACAACTATAAAAACAAAATCAATTCTTTTATTTTTAAACAAGTATCTTTAATAATGATTTATTGAGATTTGAATTTTGTTTTTTAATATCAATAATAAGGCAATATTCTTAAATAGTAAAAAATGCAAGTTAACTACTTATTATAATAAATATATATACTGTATTTAAATAAAAAATTATATTGATTTGTTATTGTAAAATATAAACAATTAATATTAAAAAAATTTTTTTATTATATTATATAAAAAAATTTTAATTAATTTTATTTATTAAATATAATTAAATATAATTTTTTTATTCTATTCTTTTTATACTTTTTATATTTATACTTTTTATACTTTTTATATTTATACTTTTTATTTTTTATTTTTTATTTTTTTCTGTAATCAATCAAGTATTTATTGTGTTTATTTAATCTTTAAAAGAAAACATATTCGTACATGTTTGACTTATATGTATAAACTAATTACTTATACTTGAATACCCGTCTTAGGCTATTAACCTCTAGATATAATCTTGAAGATGAATAAAGTTGCTCCCTCTTGTTTTCGGTTCCTAAGAAAACACGAGTTCATTGCCTGCAGTTTATCACTACAGTTCACCTTGGCAAAATCTTGATTACTTCATATCCCTAACCATTTTCTTCCTTCCTTTATCTTATCTCATAATACCCTCGTGAGTTTAGGTATGTAGCTTTGGTCGGTTGTTATCTCTGGATGAATTGCCACTGCTCTTAAACTTGACGGATCTTGATGAAGTATTTCTTTCCCCTTTCGAGAGCTTTGTGTACTGGTGACTTTGTACTTGAATATTGTTGTTTCCTTTCCTTTGCCCTTTTCCAGGGAACTCTTTTTGCGTTCTTGAATCTTCTCGCATCTAGAGTTTCAAATTAGCTTTCTCATCTTATTATACCAGAAACTGGAGAGTTTGTTGAGAATTCTCCTGGATATGACTTTGGAGATCTTTAATAACCAAAAGGCATTGGTCTATTCTTCTATGTCTTCCTTTGCCCAGAGGCCAATAGATGTGTTAATTAATTCCTTGGCTGAGTCAGTTTTCTCTGCTTCCACTTGCCAAGGAGTATGTTTATTGCTGCTTACTTTCCATCCACCTTTTTGTCAACATATTGTGGAATTCATTCTTTTATGAGTTTGTCTCGAGCTTGGTGCCATATATTCTTCTTAAGTTCTTGTATTTCCTTGCATGTTAGTAGGTAATCTAAGGTTTCTTCTTGGAGGTGACAGAGTATATACAAGTTGCTAGGCATTTCTAATACATTCCTCTTGATTAGATTATCCATAGTTGGGAGTTCATTATGAATCAGTCTCGCCTTGAATGTTCTACTTCTTGCTGCTTTAAGAGAGGTGGTGAG